ACGAGTCATTATTGCTTCCGTAAGATTAGCAAAAAATTGTTAAAAAATTCAGCCGATTTATTTTTAAGTAATATTTGAATCTAAATGTATATTTGGGGTCGGAATCAGACGGATTTATAAGGTACAAGTCGTACTTTCCCGTTTCGCTGGGCATTTAAAATTAACATTATTATCATTACCATTATTGTCATTATTATTAGGGAGTCCAACACTCATGTAAATATTAGCCTATCCATTAAGTACATGTATTTTCAACATACCAAGTCAATCGGATGCATGGTTCAGTAGTTATAACGGAACATCCGTAAAAATCACTGTAGATTTATATTTTAGTATAGATTATTTATATTTGGGCTGAGGTGAGACATTTTCTTTTTGTGAAAGTGCCTCACGTACGCCAATAAGCTTTAGCAGAAAATTGTAACAATTTAGGGGTGTCTTGTTAAGAACATTTTGAATTTGGTTTCGAATACTTAAACAACCAAACATTTCTCGAAATGTTATAAATCAGAAATAAATTAAACAGCGTATTTTGTAAATATCTTTTAGGTTTCAAGCAGACGATCATTGCAAAGGGCTACGTTTATTCTAATCTTTGTCATAAAGTAGTTACAGTGTCTATAAATAGATTTTGAAATTAAACTTGCTCATATTCCTAAGTAATTGTTATGAATCCATGTATGTATTAATTACCCTTATATTAAATTCAAATATTAGATTTTTTGTGAACTTTTTTCAATAACTTTAGATCTAGCATCTACAGTTATTGAAAAAAGATGCCAAGTGACCAATTAAATTAATAGTGAAATGATAGAAGATTTCAATTACACACAAATAAATATAATATACTAGCGATCCGCCCTCGCTTCGCTTCGGAAACATTAAAACATACATGAAACAAAAAACAAAAAATAAAATTTTTAAAAAAAAATTTGCCTATGTTCATTAGGGACAATGTCGGCTTCTAATGGAAAAAGAATTTTTCAAATCGGTCCAGTAGTTTCGGAGCCTATTCGAAACAAACAAACAAACAAATCTTTCCTCTTTATAATATTAGTATAGATATAGGCCAAAGTCTGCAAATTGGTTTTGTTGCATACAAAGTTTAATCTAGTTTATATCTTACTTTCAGCTCTAGCGGCGATGTCTTCTAAGAATTAGTGTAACATAGACAATTTTGAAGCCATCGTGTCCTAAAGGATAAGACGTGCGGTTCATTCGTATCTAGCGATGTAACGGTGGTCAAATCCCGCCGGCAAGTGCCAATTTTTCTAATGAAATACGTACTTCGCAAATGTTCGTGTTATAAAAATCAAATCTGCATAATTATAGTTTGCATAATTACTGGTGGTAGGACGTTTTGTGAGTCCAAACGGGTAGGAACCACCACCCTGCCTATTTCTGCCGTGAATGCGTTTATTTTTGAAGGGTGGGGCAGCCGTTGTATTGTAAAAACTGAGATCTTAGAACTCATATTTTAAGGTGGGTGACGGCATTTACGTTGTAGATGTCCATGGGCTCCGGTAACCACTTAACACCAGATGGGCTCGTTCACTCACCTAAAGATAAAAAAAGAACATAATGTGTGGGTACATAAGCCAAAAATAGTCACGAAACAAGGACGTCAGAACAAATGGAACCTAATAGATAATGAAATTGGAATACGTGCTTATTCAATTTTAAACGACCCATTTATGTACCTGTTTGAATCATGTTTTGTAGGATTTATTTGGATCCTCGTGTGGGTGGTGAATGTTTCCAGCCTACGCAATATATGTGCCACGAAGTATTCGTAGATTGCCCAAGCTTGAAATGTAGGATAGCTACATCACGATACTATTATTATCAACACCAGCTAGACCGTTCTGTGTTTATAGAATAACAATGTCTTAAACGCTTATCTTCGACCCTATTGTATTACAGAAGGAACTATTACAGATTTGCCTTGACGAAGTGAATGTGTTATTATACGAAATTGAATTGTCCGTCCTGTTAGCTAACAGGAAAGAATCGATTGTGATTTCGGTTTTGTTTCAGTACGAATTTAGACTCTATTGACTAAGGATGATTGTGTATATTTCCTACCGCAGAACGCCACGTGTGAGTTCAGGTTCATAAAGTCGTAACAGTTCAATATCTTTATGTATTGTTGGTATATTGTCTGATGTATTTTTATCGAATTGTATTTTTTTTTTAGTATCATCAATTTAATCAATTCGTTTCTTTAGTCTACATCTGCGCTTAAAACTACTCGTATAAGTAATCTTTAGTATTAGCTCTAAGTGCGTGTCAATATTTTTTGCTGTCAGGAATTTTCCTTATCAAATTAGCCAAAGAGTTTTTTTTTTTACTTTAGAATTTATTGTTTATCATATTGATCGGCTTTAAACGAATGTATAAGTATGAAAACATGTTGAAGACTACGGCGGATCTGTCTGAAAGAATAAAGTTTTCTTTCCGAGTTGACGTCACATTCGTATGAATTGTTGTGCCTCGTTTGAGCGGGGCGTTCTCGCGAGACATGACGTCTTTTCTGTGCTTTTTAATTTATCCTTTTTATGACACGTGCTTAAAGATATTAAGGGCTCAGAAATATTTTGATTCAAACTTGTTTGTTGATTATTTTATTGTGGTTTATAATTGTTTAAGGATAGTTAAGTTTTTCATAAAGCGAAGCTTTAAAAGCGAATTGATCCTTTTTTAATAGAAGACCATGGATTGCAACCAGGGGTCCTTTTAAAATAAATAAATATAAGTATTGTTTAGGTACATACCTAAAGGCAAGTCTTAATATCTCGTTATGACGACATAATCCGGAGTTACAATATTATATTCAGAGCTTTTTCATAACCAAATTTAATTCATCTAATGTTATTATGCGAATAGAGCCGCGAGACATATGCTGGTATAATACCTAGTAAATAATGAGGTCAAAAATACGTATCACGTTTTAGTATCAGTATCGTAACTACTTTAACGAAATAAGAAAGTCAAATTATTCTAACAGAAAGCAATTCACAAAAATTTCATGTGACTGGTAATTTTGAGAGTTGATTCTATTTTCAGTTTGAAACACTTTTTTTTAGTAGCGAACACGTCGTAAATGAGATTGCAGAAGTTTATTTGAAGCATAAACAGAACGTAACAAGTTTAGTTAAAACCGTGAACAAGAGACGTGCCACAGACACATTGACATGAAAAATGTTCTCATTTGAAAACGCCCCGCGGCACAATGTCACAGACTTCAGTAATTTTCGTACATTAATTAAAAGTGTCAAACTTAAATTAGGAAAAAAAAATGATTAATGTTTTTTAATATATATAGGTATATACTTAGGTAATCATCTGGTGAAATATAAAAAAAAAAAAACTATATTTGGTAGCTGAAATGATTCACTTATTCATTTTTGAATCACATAAAAAAGTTTTAGAGCAATGAGACTTAAATGGAACGTAACCTAAAACTGACTACGCGATGACATGACATGAATAATGTTCCAAATGAAAATAACTTTTTATAGAAATCCTTTGAATGGGTCTGTAATCAACGGATTTTTTTTTGAAATGTTTTTTATGATGCAAAGTTTATTTAATGCGCTCTAGTATTGCTATTAAGCAATAATTTTCGTTGTGATTTTATCGTACAGTTAATCGAGCGAGTAGACAGTTTTATTTTTCTTTAAACGATAATTATTATAGACGTGTCTATTAAATACTATTTAATTAAAGAAGTGAGCTATATTTATTGATAATTTTTCCAAAAAGAATGAGGTTTCCAATTTGACTACGTTTTTCTTTATGTATGTTCTTAGCTCAGAGCTTTTTTTGGTAAACCAATTTTGGTGATTCTTTTTTTGAAGTGAAAACTTCTTTAGAATCGTTGTGATTTCAAACCGGATGCAACGGAAAAAACGACAGGTAAGAGACACAAATACAAAAATGTGTAGGATGAAGCCAGCAAAGAATGAGACAAAAATATACATACTATTTAATACAGCGCCATCTGTCAGATTTTTTAATACTAACATGTGTATGAAAGCTCTTGTAGTGAATTTTAATTTAGGATTATACGTGAAATTAAAATATCAATTTACAGAGGGCGCTACCTTAAAATTATTTACTAATGACAAAATTTTACATACACTTAAGACGTTTAGGATAATTGTATTTTAATTTTGGAAGGTTTCACTTCTACCACGTGTGAATTGCACACATGTAATTTTTTTTTAATTTGAAAGCTAGTAGTACTTCTAATGTGGTAAATTTTTATTAATCTGAAATGTAGTTTTTGTGTTACCCTTAATAATGGATATTTAATCGACTTCGACTTCATTGTTGATGTTCTTTTTTATTATGACGAAGCCGCTTTTATCTTTTATTTTCAATTTTGTGTTATATCGTTATTACAATTAAGGTACTTTTTTTTCTATTGCTTAGATGGGTGGACGAGCTCACAGCCCACCTGGTGTTAAGTGGTTACTGGGGCCCATAGACATCTACGACGTAAATGCGCCACCCACCTTGAGATATAAGTTCTAAGGTCTCAAGTATAGTTACAGCGGCTGCCCCACCCTTCAAACCGAAACGTATTACTGCTTCACGGCAGAAATAGGCAGGGTGGTGGTACCTACCCGCGTGGACTCACAAGAGGCCCTACCACCTGCATACTTTCAAGACGATGAAAGAATAATCTGTTGTTAAGTGATTACCAGAGCTCATGAGCACTAAAACCGTAAGTTTCGTTGTCTACTTTCAGATTCGGTAGGCAACGGATTGGCTCTGCCCCTGGAATTGCTGAAGTCCATGGGCGACGGTAACCACTCACCATCAGCTGAGCTCTTTCCGTTCCGTTCCGTCTTTATCGCATTATAGCAACAGTGATATTCTAAGCATCTAGTTGGCTGATACTCTTAAAATCGAAACACGCGATGTACCGCAATAGACATACAGTAGTAGTACTAGAATCGGCTAGAATTTACCAAATTTTTTTTTTTTTGCAGAAGTGATGTGGAGTCAACTCTGATGTAGAAGGCACCGCCATGGATCACTGGGTGACGGCAGCGAGCGCGCTGTTGGCCTTCTTACTATACTATAACACCTTAGACGCCGGCTTCGTCTACGATGACAGGTAAGCTGTAATCAGAATTAGGTAATTTTATTATTGCCGTAACTACCGCACTTTTTACTTTTGGACGAGCTCACAGCCGACCTGGTGTTATGTAAGTGGTTACTGGAACCCATAGATATCTACAACGTAAATGCGCCACCCACCTTGAGATATAAGTTCTAAGATCTCAGTATAGTTACAACGGCTGCCCTACCCTTCAAACCGAAACGCATTACTGCTTCACGGTAGAAATAGGCAGGGCGGTGGTACCTACCCGCGCGTACTCGCAAGAGGTCCTACCACCTTCTATGTCATGGTTTTGAAGTCTTGTGAATGATCTCATAACAGGCCAAGCATAAAATGGTAACCTATAAATATAAAGACGAATTCGATAATTATTACACGAACTGGAATATATAATTTGTTTTGCGATTGGTGTGAAATACATAAGACTCAGCGTCATTTTTTAATATAGGTGACTACATTCGCGTTTCTACGGATCTCAATAGCGTCATGACATTATCTGCTCATTTACGCTACCAAGAAAATAGATGCAAAATGTGAAAATAGACTGATCTTAAACAAATTTTCGCAATATTGACTTCGTTATTTTAAAATCTGGAGTGAGATAAAAGCATCTTATCTATAATGGAAGAAAAGAAAGGAACTTCGCCTCCTACTTTCTTTGTTAGCTCATTTTAGGTACGTCAGTACATGATTTAGCTTTTTAAAAAAATATTTTTCATGTCGGACAGCTGGCTCAGCCCTTTTAACCCTTTTGTATCGAGCGCTTGAAAAGAGGAAAACACCAACGTAACGTGATAAATTGAACGAAATGAGGAAATATTTAGTAGGGCGAACTGCTACTGGTGAAGGAGAGATTGGACTATAAATTACCTAACTACCACGTGGTACAATAAAATGTATTGTACTAACCCGGCTACTTGTTTCTGCTACCACTAGCCGATTCAACCACCGTAGTATGTGTAACGTATGAAATAATGTAGCCTTACTAATAATTTATGAGCGGAGTTCATTATCCTAGATTAAAAGTTAAAAAAATCAATATATTTTTGACAGGTTACAAAACGATCACATAATATGTTTCATTATTAGGTGTTACTGAGATTAGTTCCAGATGTATTTTCGTATAGATAAATAAATATAAAACCGCTAAATGTATGACGTTCGAGAAGATTCATCGTCTCTGTCAATCAAACCGGTAGTACGAATTTAGTTTCAATTTCGAAGGTCAATTATCTCTGAAAATCGCCTTGTATTGATAAGACTATACTGATCTATTTGCAAAATTTGGTTAATTCGATTTGCAATTGAGATACTCTAGTTATTCGATGTAGCATGAATGCTTGAATAAGCTTAACTTAGCATAACTGTTATATAACAACATTATAGATATATATGTATATGTATATGAATCCTCATAAAAAATTGTCACAGCTCTAAGCGGAGTTGTAGTTGAGATGAACTAAAAAGTTGTTTGTGGATTGTGTTTCTTTGTAATTGTGACTCTATTGATAATTATATATTTGTAATTTGATTACTTAAATTTAAAGCTGAGCCCGTATTGAAATGCATTAAACCTGCAACAATTACAAGTAATCCATTTAAACCTTGTTAAAATCAATTGTGGGGCCACCGAGATAAAAATCCGTTAAAAAAAGCGAAAAGGCAGTTCACGCGTAAATCCCTTTGAAGAGTCCGACCAATTAACACCTAAATAAAGATCCCGCAGGAATCGAAGGAGCAGCAAAAAAGTTATCCGCGCTATTTGCTAAAGACCACGACTTTGTCATGCTGAATAATTTAGATTTCTCCTTTGATCCCGGTGTACCCTGGGGGCACAAGGGTAACCGCGTTACTGTATCTGATTTATTCTTTGTACTTTTTTGTTTTGTAATGTACGTACAGCTGTGAATATCGTTTGAATAAAGAATCCCCGTGACCGAGGAGGCACGGCGAGATTGTTTTGTCTAAGGATTTATTTCACGGCTTTGTATATTTTTGCTTACCTTAAGAATCTGATAGTGTTGAATTGGATTGTGTAATGACGCAGTCCATTCCAAAAAACACATACTCGAAATAATACTCAAATTCTATTTTATCAGAACTTATTTTATCAGTTTTTTACTGGTGGTAGGACCTGTTGTGAGTCCGCACGGGTAGGTACCACCTTATTTCTGCCCTGCTTATTTCACCCTGTTTATTTCTGCCGTGAAGCAGTAATTAATGTGTTTCGGTTTGAAGGGTGGGGAAGCTGTTGTAACTATACTTGAGACCTTAGAACTTATATTTCAAAGTGGGTGGTGCATTTACGTCGTAAATGTCTATGGGCTCCAGTAACCACTTAACACCAGGGGGCTATGAGCTCGTCCACCTATCTAAGCAATAAAAAAAAGAACAACATCTTAAGTTTGATGGTATATGTGAAATTGTGTATGTATTGTGAAATTAAAGATTTCTGTAAAAAAATTACGTGTAAAAATATCGAATTGGTATTCTTTGAATGCATACATTTAATTTAGTTGAATATAATTTGAACTTTTTCTTTGCTGTGAATACCTTTGCAAGGTCATTCAGCTTCTGTTTCCCCGTTGAAAAGCTTCCAAATATTTTTCATTTGCTACCCGTTTCCTTTTGACACGGCAGTACGGCATTTTAGGACGTCAAAAAAAAGTACACAGTACAGAAGGAGTCAATAGGAATTTTTCGTTAAGCAAATCACGAAGAAACCCGTCGAGATACGCCGCTTTGAAATCTCCCATCTCAAAGGATATATTACAAAAAATACTTAAAATGTTGTGTTTGTTTAGTATGTCAGAGGTTTCTTATAAATGGATCAAGTATTATTAATTTTTGTAACGACAGCTTTACGTTTGCTTAGAGATTTTAGATTTTGTTAAAAAGGTTACAGTTTCTAGACGCTTCCATTTTATAATGAACGCTATAAATAATGAAATTAAATAGAATATCATAAAATATCACGACTACAACTGATCTATACGTTTATAACAGCTTCGAGTTTCTGAAAACAGTTGCCGGCCGATAATCGTGATAAAATCGATGAACTTCGTTCCGTTTCTGGGCTCGTGGAAAACCGCCAGTGTTTCGTAATTGGGAGCTTACGTGACGAGTCCACGCCGCAGCTGCCCCCAACTTTCCCTGCAAAAAGTTCTTCACTATCCCTAACTTTATCTCAATCTTAGTTTCGATTTTTCCTTGGAAGCGAGTTGTTTTTATCGATACGCTTATGAAAACCAATACGGGCCAATAGCGTTTTGAGGGGCTCCCGACATAAAATTCCAGATTATATGTTATTGGGGAAGGGCACCTCACGATAAAATTGTTTATTTATGCTTCGTTATTAGAACTGGATTTGAGGATCTTCAGTTACGTACTCAAATGAAATGTTTCGGCAAATGATACATCCGTAGCATGTATTTATGTCGAAATCACAGTATTTTATTGATTTTTCTATTTTTGAATTCATTTTTTGAGAAGAGAAACTGTCGGCACAACGGCGTTTTCAAACTGCAATCCCCGGGTGACTTGTGCTCTATTAATTCTATTACAACAAAGAGTATTTATTTGATGTACCAAATTAATTAATAATTAATGTTTTACTGTTACATTTACTATTAAATTTAACACTTAAATTTACTTTTTTATGTGTTTATTTAAATAATAAGCTTTGACTAATAGCTTAACTAAACGCTAAACCTAAAAATATATTTTTTCTAGTAAATTAATGTTATGTTGCAATTATGTTGCGAGATTTACACTTTTTTGCTAATCTATGAAATATCCGACGTGTTCTTATTCAGTCTATGCTGGTTTGAGACTTGTGGCAAGTATCTATTTTGTATACATATGAAATAAAAGGAAAAGAATTTAAAAAAATTAAAATAGGCCTTAAATTAAAAATTGAGAATTGGACGTCACGTGTCAAAGAGAGCAGCGGTATTTAAGTTTTAGTATTAACAAACTCACATTAGGCATACGGAGATTATCTTCTGTTTCATTATTAACATTACTACCTATACTGTTGACAAATTTGTTGTTGATGTAGTTACCGTATGACATGTTGATCTAAACACTTTTTAATAATACTGTGTCTCCACTTATATCCACGCCATGCTTATTTAAGCATTATTTATTATTTAATCAAACGAAAAATAAAGGATGAGATGCTTAGTATACCCGTTTCTAATGATGCAACCACGCCGTAGTACTAAGCCCACGACCAGGAACAAACTTTCCTAACGAATTATTTCTACATAAATACTAGAGATATGAAGACAACCAGACGGATAAGATAATACAAGCGTTGGTTAATTTTGTACTCTTAATTTCTGTAAGAGGATCGTATTGTAAGCGCATAATATATAGCTCATACTTAATACCTTATACTATTATCTACCTACTATCTACTAATACCTTATATTATTATCAGGATTAAAATATCACATGAAAAAAACCAACTAATGAAATAAATAGATGACAGCTAATCATTCCTACATATGACTTAAGCATCATGGGGTTTATCTATGACCAACATCTTCTAAAATTTATTCCTTCGCAAGATCATCTTGACTTGTTGATTCTCGAAAAGCTACATACTCTTCATGAATGTAATGGACTTTCAAAAAGCTTTCACCCACTTCCTATTATTGTGATAAACATAAATTGTCCAATATGCATATTTGTAAAAACTATAAAATAAAATTGTTGTATAATATTGTAGTGTAGTATTGACGATCTAGTCTCGTGATAAAACTCGATGGAACCATGCAAGGTCTAATAAAATTATAAAGTTTGACTTTTTTTTTATTGCTTAGATGGGTGGACGAGCTCACAACCCACCTGGTGTTAAGTGGTTACTGGGGCCCATAGACATCTACAACGTAAATGCGCCACCCACCTTGAGATATAAGTTCTAAGATCTCAGTATAGTTACAACGGCCGCCCTACCCTTCAGACCGAAAGGCATTACTGATTCACGGCAGAAATAGGCAGGGCGGTGGTACCTACCCGCGCGGACTCACAAGGGGTCCTACCACCAGAGTTCTTTTGATTTGTCATAACGAGTTCTATTCACAAAGCTTGTTCTATTAAGGGTTTGAATTCGTTAAAAAAAAAACGTTTACTCAAAAATTTTGTAGTAATACATCTAAATCGATCTAACTCAAATGAAATTGCTGGGCTTAGCTTCTTACGTCCCTCCAAAAAACCCATTGAACTTTCACTAAATTCTAACCGTTTTACCGAGATGCTATTTCGTTTCATTTCGTCCAACACCACCGGTGTTGTTTTATATTAATTTATTTTCATTTCAAATGTCACAAAAGACACGGCTTTGGCTTTTGTCATAAAACATTTGACTGTATGAGCTACGTTCCCTTTGCCTGTCCAATATAAGAATTACGCAAAAAAATCAGATTAAATTAAGTAAAGTTACCGAGTTGTAGCATCATAAGGCTATTTATAGCTCGCAATAGCGTCTAGCACTTAGTTTTAGCTAGCTAGCTAGTTTTAGCTAAAAATTTTTATTTTTTTTATTGCTTATGTGTGGACGAGCTCACAGCCCACCTGGTGTTAAGTGGTTACTGGAGCCCATAGACATCTACAACGTAAATGCGCCACACACCTTGAGATATAAGTTCTAAGGTCTCAGTATAGTTACAACGGCTGCCCCACCCTTCAAACCGAAACGCATTACTGCTTCACGACAGAAACAGGAGGGGCGGTGGTACCTACCCGTGCGGACTCACAAGAGGTCCTACCACCAGTAATTACACAAATTATAATTTTGCGGGTTTGATTTTTATTGCACGATGTTATTCCTTCACCGTGGAAATCAATCGTGAACATTTGTTAAGTACATATTTCATTAGAAAAATTAGTACCCGCCTGCGGGATTCGAACACCGGTGCATCGCTCGACACGAATGCACCGGACGTCTTATCTTTTAGGCCACGACGACTTCAGCGTCTAGCACCTAGTTTTAGCTAGCTAGCTAGCTAGTTTTAGCTAATTGGAATAAGAATTGGATCAAAATATTTTAAACATTAAAGTGGGAGTAATACTTTTAGAAACTGTCGAGACGTTTTTTCTCACGTCAGTTATACTTAAATTCATTGATATAAATATTCGTGTGTGTCGATATCGCCGCTTCGTTGAATGTGAAAACGAGGTAGTACCGGTTACGGAATAGCGAATGCTATAAACTGAAAACGGCCATAACCGAAGCCTACTGAGGTATTCCGCTTATTTTATGCGTTACATTACGCATTTTCGCTCAAGTTCTTCGGAACTATGGTTGGAAATACCGCGGAGAGTAATTTTATTTGTATTATAACGCTAATATTAATTTAGAAATTAAAAAGTAATTTTCAGTTTCCGAAAATTGAAACATTAACAAAATTCATATTATCACGAGTCCTTAAAGTCGGTAATCCCCAATCTTGATGATTATTCCTGCCTATTTCTGCCGTGAAGCAGTAATGCGTTTCGGTTTGAAGGGTGGGACAGCCGTTGTAACTATAAATAAGAAATAAATATTTACTAACAATCACGCCACGTTAACTGGTCCCGTGATAAGTTCGTAAAGAACTTGTGTTACAGGTACCAGATAACGGAAATAAATTTTAGATTTTTATTATACACATACATATATTTAAGATACATCCATAACCCTGGAAAAGACATTTATATTTATCATACAAATACCTTCCCTTGGCGGGATTCGAACCCGCGACCTCCTTGTGTAGTGACCATGTCACTTACCACTACACGAGATGGCCGTACTGAGACCTTACAACTTATATCTCAAGGTGGGTGGCGCATTTACGTTGTAGATGTCTATGGGCTCCAGTAACCACTTAACACCAGGTGGGCTGTTAGCTCGTCCACCCATCTAAGCAATAAAAAAAATATATTAGCAATTGAAAGTTGTACTTCATACTGAAGTTACTACAGAATTTATTACGAATATTATCATCATGTCGAAAATTAATATTTGATAAAAAATAAATAGTTTCCGTTTTTTCACTAGTTTCACTTGTTTGATTAGGTATTTATATCATATTATTATAATAATATATTACGTGCAACATCTAAACGGAAAAGTTCAAAACGAAAATCATTTTCGAACAAAATACTTCGAAAACTTTTTATGTAAATAAGTAAAGGAAAAGGCGTCTTATTCACAATTTGCAATACAATGGTTGAACGTTAGAGATGATTTTTCCTCCTACGCATAGTAAGCGCGCTTTTGGTTCCATAAAAATATATTATTCAATCGGCTATTTCTCTGGCTTTCCACTCCCAGTCTAAAATGAAGGAATAAAATATATGAGGGATCAATAGATAAAAGACTTACGTTGGGTCCGTCCTTGTTAGGTCAGTCTGATTCATGTCGATTCCGGGAAAGGAAATACCGAATGATGGTTTAATAGATCCGAAATAATAACCCGAAATAATTTAAATAGAAAACGGACTATCTTTAATTCGTGAAAGTTCATTATACTTGATAACAATTTTATAATATTTAAATCTTGAAAAATGATTTTGAAATTTTGTATTTAGCGCTCAATTTCAAGTGAATTGGATTGACTAATCTAATTCAAAATGTAAGCTCTATGGTCTGAAATAGATGTCATAGGTCAGCGAGCACGTATAGACGACCACTGAACCGAGAGCGTTTAGGCACTTCACACATCAACCGGAAAACGTCAAAATACGGTTCACAAAATCAATTTAAGGGGGAAGATCNTGATTTTGAAATTTTGTATTTAGCGCTCAATTTCAAGTGAATTGGATTGACTAATCTAATTCAAAATGTAAGCTCTATGGTCTGAAATAGATGTCATAGGTCAGCGAGCACGTATAGACGACCACTGAACCGAGAGCGTTTAGGCACTTCACACATCAACCGGAAAACGTCAAAATACGGTTCACAAAATCAATTTAAGGGGGAAGATCGTTGCTTGTGTTAAAACGTGTCCATTATTTAGATAGTATTGAGACGCCCTCCGAAACAAAGGTCCGGGGATCGGGGGCCAATCATTTGGGAAAACATCGAATAGATACAGCTCAGATGAACGACTAGCCGGCCAGGTAAAAAGTAATATTTTATTTAAATCAACCAGTTTGGGACGCCCATTTGAATTTGTTCGGTGGTATTAAATTCTGATGCGAAACAAAGAGGACAGGCTTTTGCTGAATCTTTCGGTACTTTATATGATTTCCAGATATGTGAAGACTAGGTATGGTTTATTCTCAAATTTTACAGATTGCCAAATTTCGATTTTTTAAATGAATTGTTTGTTTAATTTGAAATTTCAACTATAAGAAATGTATATTTATTTACAATACAAAAATAAGGAGATTTCGGGATTGGTCTTCGATATTTAAATTAATGGTACCACTTCGGCAATTGACTCCGAAATTTAAATAAATAAGCGTCTCGAACAGCACTAGTCTATCATAGCCGCCAAATCACGGATATTGATCTTTTTTTATTACACTGGAAAAGGTAGAACAGGGCTGAGAAAAAGTTACGAAGAAAAAGTTTTTTAATCAAAGCTGATAAAAAACATAGCTTCCCGTTGGCTGTGGACTTATTTTTACCCATAGGTTTATTAGTAAAATTCCAACTTATTACTTTATGAATTAAAATTTGCTTTTTGATTTGAAAGTTGGTTAAAAATCACAGGTTGGTAAGGTATATCTGGTGCTAAGAAGTTATGCGTTCCGTTTTAAAGGCTAGCATAGTCTATAAGATAATGGAAATGAGTCTTCAACCTTATGGTTTGTGGTGGGTAATGGCTTTGAGGTTATGATGTAGTCAAAAAATAATCAAATTAACTCAAATTTTGTTTTGTGAGCCAATTAATGTTAATGGGGATGAAATAAAAAAGGGTCAATTAAAAAAATTCTGATCGAAAAGCTTTTATTTTGAACATTGATTTATTTGTTGAAGTTTAATTGATAGCTTTTGTCTCTGATCAGTGTTTAATTTAACTTTCTCGTAAATGTATCCAGTAACATAAACCCTACACCGTTACTTAGTACGCCGCTATTCGCGGAAGCTAAAGCCATATAATTACTTCAGTGTAAATTGGTTCCGAGTATCTTCTGACATTTGCGGAAACTTTATAACGACCTATGTGTGGATTCCAGATAGTTTCACATTTAAATATGAACATCTTGAATTTTATAGGTAATTATTTCAATAGTTGTTAATTTCATAATTTTTTACGTTTATTTATGTGATAGGTAATTTTATGGATAAATCATAAACATCATAGATTATTATATAAATATATGCATATTTGTACATAATCATTTATACTCAAGGTTTTTCGGATGTCAGACACAAATTGTTTTTGTCCAGAATGCAAGATGTATTTTAAAAGAAATAAACATTTAAATTTGGCTTTCTTTTTCTATATTTCATAAAATAAGTTGGTATAAAAAGTTAATATAAAATAATGACATTTATTATTTTGTTTCACAGACGAGCGATCCTATCCAACCCGGACGTCATCGGGCACACTCCACTATGGTCGTTATTTGAAAACGATTTCTGGGGTACTCCACTCTCAGATCCCGGCTCGCACGGCTCCTACAGACCGCTTTGCGTTGCGACATATCGACTGAACTACGCATTCGGCGGATTCAAGCCTTGGAGCTATCACTTTCTCAACATAATATTTCATTGCACGGCCACTGTTTTAGTGGTGACAACGGCTCGGAGACTTTTACCTCCGTATTGTATGAGAGTCGGCACTGCCGTCGCTGGACTTACCTTCGCTGCACATCCGATACACACAGAAGCAGTGGCAGGGGTAGTCGGCCGAGCCGACCTCGTTTCCTGTAATTTATTCCTTTTGAGTTTCCTAATTTACACTGAACACATTCGTCTTCGCGATGAACAATATAAAAAGAAACATCGAACAATAGTGAAAGAAAAAACGATCCGGTGCGAAGTTTCGTCGAGAGATCAATCATTCCGCTTAACTTGCCACGGTTTAATGCAGCACATAATGCTAAACTTTCGTAGACTGCTAAAGGCGAGTAAATCAGGACCGATGAAGGTGTTTGACGCTTGTGATATAAAAGGAACCGTGAGACAGGTTAAGTGTCAGTACAGTGATAGTGTCAGTGGGGATACGAGTGAACTTTTGCAGTGGGTCGCGTTGGGAGGGACACTTGTGTTCGCTGCAGCCGCCACTTTGTGCAAAGAACCGGCGATAATGGTTCTGCCACTTTGCATATTCTATGACTTCCTGAGAGGTCCTCGACACGAGGAATCCTACTTTAAGGTGAGAAGTAATTACTAAATAATTTGTATGTCCAGTTTTTTTTTAAATAATCCGTATACATCGTCGATTAATGCGACTTTTCAGCGGCTCATTTCTTTGGCAGGTACCATAACATTTACGATAAATATGCTATATCACGATGTCCGTATAATTATAGTCGAATCGGTATAAAATTTCGTTTTTAATGATGTTAGCATCGAGTTTATTCTTTCCGCGAAGCAGTCATGTGTTCCGGTTTCGCGGTATGAACTTTTTTCTATAAGTTAAACTGGCTAACGACACTCATATTTAAGTTTCTATGTGATCTAATAATCACATTGCACCAGGTAAGATCGGGAAGTTTGTCTTCTCATCAATACCAATAAAAAGACACGAATAAAATATATGCGAACTAATTTACTATTCATTCAATCTACTATTAACAAGCCCTCTAGCAACCAAGTTTAGAATATAATGGTAGTAAAGTTGTGAACTTATACCATACTTATATTTTAGTTCAATTGTGCATAAGTAAAACAAGACAATGATACAAATTGATGAAATATTTCTCAGAGAGTTAGCAGAGTCATCTAATGATAATATTTGTTTTTATATTTATGTATATCTATATATACATACACATATGTTTAAGTAATATCACCTTCATAATACACCTACCAAGGTTCATTTCTGCACTCCCCTAAGGTAGACTCTTAGAGAATGCCTATGGCATTAAGTACGCCTTTATACTTTCTAGTATATGAAGTTATAAATAAATAAATAAAAGGTTTACAGATGTAGACATTTTAGAACGCTTTAAATTGACGTAGAACAAATCTTAACAGTGCGACGCGTTGTTCTCGAAGCAATCAAATGGATTGCGCTGCATGACGCGGTACTTTTCTTGAGCTGCATACGTGTTTAGAGCTGAATCCAACTGTTGTGTGTTCAGAACTAAAGTCTCGACTAATCCAGTCTCACTCACTGTAACATTCTGTTTTTAAGTAGTAAACTCTTTGAACGCTACGTGAATTCTACTGGGAGGAATCCGTTTGGATTCCAGAACTTCAGCTGGTTCGTTCGTCAGTAAGAATTTTAAATAATAAATTCTAAGTACCAAAGTAAAGAAGGGTTATTTGAAATAAAACTATTAATAGATAATGCGTGTTAGTTTTTTTTTTAATTCGACGCGGAAGTTCTAGATACTTTAGGGATTAGAAGAGCGTCTCTTATTTTTGGGTAAATTCTTTAATTGGCAATGAAAGTCTCGTTATCTGTTCACTCGTTAAGGAGGTTAGGCCGGGTAAAAAGTTAAATAGAAAAACAGACAAATATAAATCTGAAAATATGCTTAGTTCCTGTCATTTTGCAGTTGCTAGAATTTATGGAAAAACATTCAAACAAAAAATAATGTGTTATTCAAGTACAGCAATATGCAATGAGCACTATTTCAGTCCAGTAATCACTAGCTAAAATCCGTCTTTAATTAGTTGTACCATTTTTTTTTATTGCTTAGATGGGTGAACGATCTCACAGCCCACCTGATGTTAAGTGGTTACCAGAGCCCATAGACATCTACAACGTAAATGCCGCCATCCACCTTGAGACATGAGTTGTAAGGTCTCACTTTTAACAGTGCAACGGCTGCCCCGCCCTTCAAACCGAAACGCACTACTGCTTCGCAGCAGAAATAGGCAAGGCGGTACCTACCCGTGCGGACTCATAAGACGTCCTACCACCAGTGAAATTTTATTAAAATTGTATATAAGTCTTGTTTAATTGTTAACTTATCCATGTATTCGAACAATCCGATTGAATTGGTACTTATAGTTCATACTTCATTGCAGGTTTTTGTAATTCAATCAAAATGTAATAAGCGGTGCATGTTTAGTTTAATAAATAGTGTATTTAGTGATATTTACAGCGGAGCGTGGTAAAATTTCATTAGTACAGCAATAATATAATCTACTTTGCAATTTGTTACTATGAATGTTGAGTATGCTGGCAATTGTGTTTCTTTATTATATTCAGTACGCTTAGCACGAAAAACACTGAGCCACTTCGATAGTGAGTGGAGCGCTACCTGTGTTTTTACTTTTAATTTTCCGGCCATTGAGTTTACCCACTCGGGAAATAAGAAGAAGATAAACATTTTATTATCGCACTACCAATTCCCTCTACTAAGCGATGCTTCTAAGCCTGACTACCTCGTTATTTAACTTTATTTTTCAGATATTTATAGATTGCTTACGGTATCTGAATTCTCTAAGATATTTTTAAATTATATAAAACTCATTATGAAGAATGTGTTCTGCGATAATAGACCGTTGGTTTTTGTTATGACTAGTATCTTCCTAATGGTCGAAATCATTGCTATCTCAAGATTTATGTACTACATTTTTCTATTGTTTTTTATTGAAATTTCTTCTTTTAAAGGCGGAAACAACATATTATATATATTAATACGCGAAGCAAAAACTTTGTACCCCTTTTTACGAAAATTGCGCGGATGGAGACGTATGAAATTTCCCACACTTATAGAGAATATAGAGAAGGAATGCATGAAATCAATTAAAAAAACAATACACACACTACCGTGTATTTGACACACACACACACAAACACATATTTAAACTCTTTGTTTATTGTCAAACTTTTGTTGTTGCTTAAAGCCTGTGGTCAAATTGAGAATAGGTTAATATTGTTTATCTTTAACATTATTTGTCTATAGTGTAGTCTTGGCGAAATCTGTGAGTATAAAAGTATAATAGTCTATGACAATAGATTTAGAACCATAATAATGTTCAAACTTATAATTTCAATTAATTATAGTCGAATTTCGACTACTGCGGGACCACTATTTCTTTCTAAAATTACTTTATTGATGCCACTAAAGAGTGTCAATAGCGAAAAAACAGAAAACAGACCAAAGAAGGTAAACTGTTCTGTTTTTGCCTATTATTTATAAATACATAAATTAATATTTGTTAATATTTTTTTAATAATGGTTATTACCTCAAATATTTATATTTTGCGACAGGTTAGGCTTAATGTAACAGAATACTGTAAATACAATAAATCCTCGTTTAACTTGGTAGGATTGTGAAAAAACAAATGTAATCACATTAAGAAAGAAAGAGCGTCATGAAAACCGCAAAAATAATATTTTTATGCATTTTAATTTGTAACAAAATTCGTAGCGTCTGATAATAATAACAGTAAACAATTTATGGCTACATTTTACCCAAAAAGGAAAGGTTAATAAAAGAGCTCATAGGGCTTAGTTCCACACAAAAAGGCAGTAAGGGTATCGTTTATCGCAGCCCGAGGTCTGTTAAATTCTGCGGCTTAATTAAATTCAATTTTCGAATGCGGTCACCCATGACATTCATCCATTGGAGATCATTTCGGTAGTAAAATAGTAAACTGATCATTTAATAAATCATAATTATTTACAACTTAAACTACGTAATAGAAAAAAATAAAACCTGCATGTTTGTAGTTTTTTCTTTGATTTTCGCGTATAATAGACGTAATTAAAGTAATGTTTACGATTTATAATAAAATCGAGTTTTATTGTCATTATGTACTCGTAATTTCCGTCGTTTTGAATACCTTACAGTTTTCGTGACCATGAACGACCAGAACTCCATAGACAATAAATACACTTCATATTTAAGATAAATAATTAACCCACTGAGTTTCTCGCCGGATCTTCTCAGTTGGTCGCGATTCCAATCCGGTGGTAGATTCTGCGAGCCACTGCGCTTGCTAGGGCTTTTTTTTTCTTCGTCCGTGACCACTAAAACTGTAACTGTAAGCTCAAAACGTTGGAAATAATGAAAAACGTTAGATTGCACCTTAACTTAGCTTTAATTATGCATATACTCGTATGTAAATATGAATCTTATTTGTTGTTTTATAGCTTTTTGTATGATATTTTTTGTTTGGAACATTTTTAAATACAACATTCAATTTTGTTTATATCGCATAAAAATAACTCTTAGCGCTAATTGCACGGCTTAATTATGATTTAGTCGATGACCAAGAAGGGCTAAATGTAAACAATTGAATATTCATGGGCGTTAAATATCGCTCTCAGGCGCAAATTGTTTTTCGAATTATTTTCCACGATACCGGCAAACAAAACACGAATTAAGTGAAATTTCATTTGGTTGTATATTTAATAAACCAATTTTATGGTCCTCAACAAAACTTACAGAAACTGGCTTATTTTCGTTGAAGATTTTTGTTGGTAAAAGTGAAAATTCCGGATGACGATACTATTTTATTACCTTATCCTTGGTTGTTCATGCGATCTCATGCAATAAAGTGATAAAACAGTTAGCGAGCACAATGTTACAAAACTGGCTCGGATATATCGCGAGCAAATAAAACTTCCTTTCAAAACAGAAACTTGCGGGTTTTCTCATTTTTTCCATAAAACCGTTTTGTTTTTATTGTATGCATGAGTTAACGAGTTCACGGCTCGCTTAGTATTAAGTGGTCGAAACTCATAGACATCCCAATACTGCCACCCACCTTGAGACATGTGTAAATTGTCTAGTATAACGGCTATTCCAACACTTAAAACCGTTACTCAATATTTTTTTTTATTACTTAGATGGGTGGATGAGCTCACAGCCCACCTGGTGTTAAATGGTTACGAAAGCCCATAGACATCTACAACGTAAATGCGCCACCTATCTTGAGATATAAGTTCTAAGGTCTCAGTATAGTTACAGCGGCGGGCCCACCCTTCAAACCGAAACGCATTACTGCTTCACGGCGGAAATAGGCAGGGTGGTGGTACCTACACGTACGAGCTTACAATACGTGTTACCAACAGTAAATTTCTTCTAGTTCATCTGAATTGCTCTACGTGGAAAGCTACAAAATTTGAGAAAACAACAATCAAATAATACAATTACCCGACATTAAAGGCTCGGTCTCCCTCGATAGAGTGTTAACTTTACAATTTAAAATTGCAAACTAAGTAGGCAAGTAATATTCATGATATC